ACACACACACACACACACACATACATATATATATATATATATAATATAGAGAGAGAGAGAGAGAGAGAGATAAAGTGAAGTTAGAAACATTCTCACTTACATACTCATATACATACATGATCTATAAACTGGAGTGTGTGTGTATATTTGTATATGCCGGAACGTACTTATACACACACCCATTAGCTTATTATGCAAACTTTGCCATTTTTGTTCTTGTTCTTCTTTTTCTTGCTTTTCCCTGCTGATTGGTTGAAATAAAATTATTTCATTTTTGATAAAAGTGAAAAACAAAAATAAAATTTTCTGCCAACATGAAACTTGATTATATGTGAGAAAATTTCCCTCATTTGTAACAAGAACAGATAAAAAAAAAAGAAACTTGTCAATTTGAAAAGGAAGCTTGTTAAGTTTTTGATGAAATTTTCTGGACATCTTATTTTTATTTTTATCTAGTGACATCAGCAAATGCATCTGCTTATGTGTGTAATTCCTTTTTCAATATAATTTGATATTTTCTCATTCACGCTTTTGCTCGTTTGTATCTCTACATGAATGTATACAAACACATAGATATGAACATATGTAGGTCTTTGTATTCATCATCTACATAAAAAATATTAGAATATAAATATTTAATCTTTTTATTATTTTATTTCTTGGTCAGATGACATTGATAAACCTAATTGGAAGGACACACAGGAAAAATATCTTTACAGAATATATATATATATATATATATATATATATATACCCACCCACACACACACACATATATATATATATATATATATATATATATATATATATATATATATATATATCTGTTATTATACACTGAGCACTGTTTTATTACCATCAGCACCCATTGTGCATTGTTTTATATATATATTCAGGCCAGTAAATGTAATTAATATTGTTTATTATAAACAGAGCATTTACTTTAATATTTGTATCCATAAAAATAATGTATAAACAGAAAATATATTAAAACAATTGTGAGACTTAGTCCATTTCATAATATATATATATATATATAGGACAGATTTTCAAATTTAACTGATTGTCTACCTACACAGATGATTTGATTATAATGGTGAAGACTTGTGTAGCACCAGCCACACATTTCAGAAGAACTAAAAACAGAGAAATGGTGCACAGTGTACCACATAATCTCCAAAGTGATGTCCTCAGATTTGAATGCAGAGTTTTCCTTCCAAAATATGGGAGCCAAGTATGCCTAGGAAGAAGATGGATTCATGCCTTTTTCAATGGCATTTGAGCAAAGTGAACAAAACAGAATTGACTGGAATAGAAATTTGGCTTGGCAGTTCTGCTTGTGAATGTCAAATTCACCTCTTTTTTACTATTAACTGTCTTAAGGAAAATGTTAAAGAAAAGGACATTTTTACTCTCAAGATTACTCCCACAGATTCAAACACCATTCCAGAACTCAGAATAAAAAATTCAGTGTTTGGTTAAGCTTCTTCTTTTTCTTTAACTCACTCTGACAGCAGATATAAAATGCTGATCCTGTTCATAAGAAACACTCTTCTCCTCTAATCTCAGTTTAATATTCATTGGGTTTTCACAATCAACTGTTCGAAAGTAGACGATTCAGAAATACAATAATTCAACAGAGCTTGTTTTGTTTTTCATTTTATCTCTTTGATAAATAATCCAATTGTATTTAAAACAGACAGCTTTTTAAAAAAAAATTATCCTTTTCAATCTAAGAATCATCTTTATGGCTGAACATCTTAAATACAAATTCAGATTTTCTTTCATCTCTTCTTACAAGAGAATTCTATTTTTCTCCCCTGATATTGGCAAAAACATTATAATGATAATAAAAAGAAATCTCCTTTTCATCTCATTGTGTTTATTAATTTATTTTCTTTATCACTTTCTTAGGAGATATTTCTTGCAAATGATTCTACTGTTTCAACAGATATTCTTCCTTCTTTAGGAATTCAACCACAAGTTTTATCAATCCTTTTACATTGAGCAAGCTTTTCCTTACCCACGGTTTGGTTGATAGTGAGAGAGAGAAGAAAATAAACCTCAAATACTAACATGTAATATGTTATTAAACAGTATCTATTTCTATAGAGCTGAATGTTTCAGTCATCCCTTTATATTGTGTGTACATCAGTTAATTTTGAATTTGAGTCTTATCTTGTTTGATTTCGCAAGGATCATAGAACACTCCCTCCACTTATGGCAGAACATGCACTCACATGACTTCTGAGAGTTCTGGGTAGCTTTGTTTAAGGATCAAGATCAAATTGTGTCCATTTATGTTGACATGCCACCTTATTCACTGGATCCCATGGCTGATTTTTCCAGCAACCATTCTTTCAATGCATATTTTTATAGTCTTATTCTGTTTTGCTTAATATGAGCATATAACTTGTGTGTTTTACTCTTTATAATGTGGATGATTGGCATCAGACCTGTTGAGTCCAGAAGAGTTTGTATTCTTATGCAACTGTTGCTTATGAATCAAAGAAGTTTTATAGTCCAGTTTACACAATCCAGGCTGTAAAGAGAATATATGTGTTGTAGATCTTAGCTTTGATTTTGTAGGAAATATGAGAGGATATTTAGAGGGACTGGTTCTTCATGAATAGTGTAGATAAAAACAAATTTAACAAAATAATTAAGCATGATATAATTTCACATTGATGAAGATACAAAGTAAATAAGGCTGAAGAAGTAGAACATAGTACCGATTTTGTATGATGCATGAGTTCTGTAATACAGTAAGATCATTGAAGCAATACCACGTACTGCAGCATTGGGTGTGTCTAGACCAAGGCAGCCTAATGGTGTCCATTCCTCTTCGGGCTGGTTTTGGATTCAGAATTGTTTTTCTCTTCGACTGGTTGTCACTCAAAGTTAGAGATTCCACTTCATCCTTGTGTTAATCCCATAGCCATCGTAGGGTGAGTGGAGGTGAGTAGAAAAGATGAATTCATATTGTTCCCAAGAGTATTTGTATGAAAGAACAGAGACAATTTAAACACAGATCACTTATTTCTCTTTCTGAACTGCTAATGGAAGTCCCATGTAAATTTTTAAAAAAATGTTAATGACACAAAAGTACCATATATAGAGAAAGAAATAATTTTTAGTATTATTTCTTTCTTTACATATGATTTTCTTTATCTGTCTATATTTCTGAGATGTGGTATTGTAATTATTTACACTATTTATATTGTTCAGACTCTTATCTTCAACTTAAACACTGATGTCCTCAAAGACAGTGGATAAATGCATTGGTTAAATCCAGTGACTTGACCCAAAGAATTGTGAGTTCAATAGCTGGTTACAGCTGAGGTGAACAAAAACTTGAAGAGTTAAATTAAAGGGAGATAACTGATACTGAGATATCCAGAAGAAGCATGGCATATGGGCCTAGAACAATCTACCCCTGTGGATGAAATAAAGAGTTCATTTTAAAATTTCTATCAACTGAAGAAGAATGGAACGTACAATGTCTGAAACATCATGAATATGGCGACAACAGTCCAAACAATGTAAATAATAATTGTCTTGGCTAATTTTTTTTCTTATAACCCATACAATAAAATACACAATATTCTTTTTTCTATAATGAATGTCTTTTTACCTCCATATGTAACCAAATTACCTCATGAGAGTTTTAATAGAAACAGAATAAATATTATGTTTATAGAAGTGTTTTAATAGAGGACAGAAGACACATTTGGATAGTGAAAGATAATGTAAGATGCCTTCCAAAAGCTAGAAAAGTATTAAGAAACAAGAAAATTTCATTAGAATCAAAAAAGAGTACTGGAGAGTTACATAATATCAGTTCTCCTATATGAGAAGGAATGCTGGACGTTCTCCTGATAGATGAAGTAGAAACTTGCAACAACAGAAATGTTTTTCTACAGAAGGATGTTGAGAATTACATGGACAGAACATGTGAGCAATGACAACATTATAGAGAAAATTAAACAAAAAGCACACTTATGCTTAACTTCAGAAAAAGGCACTTGAAATTTCTAGGGCACATAATAAGGAAAGAAGGTTTGGAAAATCTGATACTCACAGGATATATCAAAGGCAAGAGGGACAAAAGAAAACAATGCATAATCTACTTGGTGAGCTTGAGTAAACTTGATGGTGAAACAGGGTTTAGTAGAAATAACAAAAAGACAAAATTTATTAAGGACAGCAAATTGTGGAGCGCCATGATCATCAATGTAGAAGAAGATGTCAATTCTAATTTTCTAAACTTAAAATATTCAAATAAAAATATAAAGTGTTATTAAAAATGTAAACAAAATAGAAACTTATGTTTAACATCAGAAAGAGATAGTTGAAATTTCTAGGGTACATAATGAGGAAAGAGGACTTGGAAAACTTGATACTCACAGGGTATAGTGAAGGCAAGAGAGATAGAGAAAAACATTGTATAACCTACTTAATGAGCATGCATAAATGGATGACAGAACACTGTTTAGAAAAAATAAGAAAAAGACAAAATTTATTAAGGACAGCAAATTGTGGGGACTCATGATCATTGATGTCAATTCTAATTTTCTAAACTTAAAATATTCAAATAAAAATTCCAATCAAATATTTTCATAAAACCTTAATTTAAAACTTTATAAAAAACAATGGTCATATATTTTTTACTTGTAATGTATACTTATACAACAATTAAAAGCACAATCATTGCTGATATTCCTCTTTTGATTAGATATAGTGCAATGGTTGTGTTTCATAAGCCTTCATTTATTAGTATACTAATGAATTCTAAGTAAGATTTCATTTGTGTGTATATATAGGTATTATACTTTCTTACTATATGTTCATGGATTGTTATGAAGAATAATGTTTTCTGCTTTTATAGAAACTTACACATTGAAACATGTGTAATCAAATTACCCTCACATTAGCAAGACAAAATTATCATCCCCAAGGCTTTTTATCATAGATATCAGTTTTCCCATCTACATTTGTGCATGTCTCTCACCTCTATTCGATATTTTCTTCTCGAACTTCCTCTGACTGTCCAAACCAAATCTTTTTCTAAACCCCTTAAACATATGGCTTCTTCACTTGCAATCCTCCAGCTATTTCTTTCTTTATTCTTTTTTGGTAATTTGATATTTATAAACATTTTCTTCTTCATTGTAAAGTTTCAAGATCATTTCCTTTCCACGATTTCTTTGAAACGCATGACATCCACTCAGAAATATTTTTTTATCATAAAAGTTTGGTTTTATCTCATTCATCCAAAAGTCAATACATCACCTTTCTTTCTGACCTTCTCTGATTTTTAATAATGAAAATTGCTTCATGATTTTGCTTAAATTATATGAATCTTTTTTGTAAACTTCAACATTCACTGCAGTTTGCAAACTTCAGCCTCCACTTGTCAAATGTTCAATCTCAATCTGTAGTTCCTATCTTTAAAAAAAACTATCGCTAACCGTCTGATCCTTCAATATATCAGCTTGTTAGTCTTCTATTTCTATTTGGCAGAGTACAAGAGACTCTAATCAACTCCATATTGGTTAAGCATCTCACCTTAAAGGGTCTTCTATCAGAAAAACAATATGGCTTTTGATTCTCGAGATTAACCACCTATGTATTGACAGTTAATGCTCAAAGAATTTATCAAGCTTTAAATAAGAATGGTGATGGTCAGTCATTGTCATAAGTAAAATGATGAGCCTGAAATGTGATTTGCAGGTTGGAGACACTAAAATCAAGCAGGTGCAGAAGTTTAAATATCTGGGAAGTGTTTTGACAGAGGACGGTAAGTGCAACACTGAGATCTGTAAATGAATTGGGATGGCCAAGGACACATTCCAAAAACTAGGCAGAATATAGCAAAACAGGAGGATTTCTTTGATAACAAAGAAAAGAGTATTGAGCTGTTATGTGACATGTGTCCTCTTTTACAGCAGCGAATGTTAGATGGTCTCCTCAAAAAGGAAGAAGAGATTCAAGGCAATGGAGATATGGTTCTACAGAAGAATAATAAGGATATCATGGACTGAGTGTTTGAGCAACAGTAAGGATTTAGAGAGGATTCAAACAACGAGGAAGCTTATACTTAACATCAGGAAGAGGCAGCTGAAGTTTCTGGGATATATAATGAGAAGATCTGATACCCACAAGTTGTATAGAATGAAAAGAAAGACAAGGGAAAAGCAATGCATGACATACCTAGCAGGCTTAAACAAGTGGATAACAGAACATGATCTGGGTGAGATAGCAGAAGGACAAAATTTATTGAGCAACACAAGGGGAAGTGGAGAGCCATGATTGCCTACATCCTGAAAGGACACGGCACATAAAAAGAAAAGAAGAAGGCCGGGCTGTTGCTTTAGATATCCCAAAAGCATTTGACAGGGTTTGAGATGCTGGTCTTTATCACAAGATAAGGATTATTGTGTTTCTGGTTGTTTCTTTGACTTCATTCAATAATTCTAATCAAGCAACTCAATGAAACTAGTAGTGACCAGTTACTCCCCTAGATCTTTTTGCATTAATACAAGTATCACCCAAGGGCAATATTCTTGAACTTTGTTCTTTATTTTTGTCAAAGACCTTCTGATATCACCAGTTTCTGACTTGACATCACTGCTGTCTTAATAGTATATCTGATAGGTTCAATAAAATCAAAAAAGGCCTTCAAAGTGTTGTTAAACGGGGCAAGAAATAGCTTATTAATTTTAATGCCTCCTAAAACAAAACTGCTCACAATTAATCATCTAAAAGAAACTTCTTTGACTTCCATCACAATGGCTGATGCTAATCTCCAGGAAAGCAACTCATTTTACCACCTTGTTCTCATGCTTCCCCCTGACATGAAGTGGAAAGATTATATTGAACTGATTGCTGTCTCTGTTGCTTGAAATATTGGTTCACTATGTCATGCTAGACAATTTTTCTTGCCAGAATCTATCTTGTATATTTATAAGTCTACCATTCATCTGTGCATTGAATATTGTTGCCACTATTGGTCTGGTGTTTCTGCTATATCTCTAGATATTCTTGACAGAATCCAAAGAAGAAACTGTCATATTAATGATACTGGCATCTTGGCTTCAATCACATTCCCTCTGACATAACTTCCTTATGATTTTTCTATAAAAATTTTCATTGTAATTGTTCTGATGAGCTTTCCTCTTTGGTCTGGCAAATTCAAAGGGCAAATCTAAGTTCAGTACTAGGTTAGCTGATAGGTCTCATAATTTCATTGTTAAAATTGCTAGTTGTAATCATAATTTTTATGCCAATATTTTATTCTCTTGTACTTGTTTATTTAGATATTTTGTTTTTTATATTTACATACACTCTATCCCTGACATTAAGCACATTACACATAAATACAGCATACCTTAAAACTATATTTCTATCACATACACACACACACACACATATATATATATATATATATATATATATATATATATATATATATCTTAGATTTTTTCCCTGTTTCTAAACTAGTTTGTAAACCACAGTTATTAGTTTTGTTTACTTCTCTAATCAAAAGGTAGCATCGTTCTGTTGGATATGCATTATCAGTGGCCAGGTGTCAAAGACTGTGAGAAAACAAGCGAGTAAGTCATTGTTAACAAGCATTCTGACAGACTTGAAATGGATATTGGGATGGGGTCAGTGAAAAAACATAGAATAATTGAGTTAGAATATAAAAGCAATGTTCCCTTGTCTGTCTGGAGCGTCCACTTTGTTTCCTGAACAATGGAAATAATTCTCTTCACATCCCAAAATGAAAGTGTTGAATCTTGAAAAGATGAAAAATATGAAACATGGATGGCAAAAAAAGAAGAGAAAGAAACAGAATTCAAGATGAGGAATATATATTATAATTGTTGGAGATCTTTTCTCTAATCAATTTTTGTGCATGCATATATATATATATAAAATACATTGCATATGTTAAAAATTACTCATACACTGGTATGAATAATTCTACTCTATTTTTAAACATAAAATTTCTCTTTATGAAGGAGGACATAATTTTCAAGATTGCAAGAAAAATGTTTTGAGTCATAACATATTTGTCTTGTTTATCTTTCAGTATATTTAATTATCTTTTGTTTATATTTCAGTATATTCTCTATAATTTCAAATCATTTTTAACAACATTTGCTGATAATTTTTTCTTTTATCATTTTCTTGTTTATTGATTAAATTCTATTGTTTATCATTTAAACAGAAATTATGATAATAGTAACAATAAATTGTTCATTTGACAATTAACTTTTTACTCCAATGGCCAGTTTAAAACATGTGTCATGGAGACAGAGAAATATCTGGGTTGATGTCTGGACACATGATGAAACCACTGGAAGAGAGAAACCCCTTAGCCCCTTTTAATGTCATAACATCTCCTTAGGAAAAGGAAAATTCAGATTTAAAACCTGTGATCACTTCAGTACCTGACATGTGGCAAACCGTGCACTGGTACAGGCCATGCTGTTTTGATGAAGAGTGTGTGCATTGTCCTGCACAAGAAATGACTACTATAAATAAATCATGTGTAGGTTGTTCAGTAAACTGTAAATACCACCATGTTTTGTGATCTTCAAATTCTGTAGCATTGAAGGGATAGTGATGAGAACAGGTGAAGGATGTCACTGAAAATTCACAGCTTGAAATTTGCACATGGGTGGTGAAGGGTGGCTGTTTTGTACAATATTTGTGAGTAATTGTGTAACTCATGTCCTCCTTTCATAACAAAGCAGCCCATTTTAAGATGACACTGTCTTCCTTCAAGAGAGAATGGTTCTAGAAAACGTGACCTAAAAATGATTTATACACTTTTGTCCCTGTCATTAGGTCCAAATATCTCGGCATCCGTAACAATACCAGATCAATAAAGAATTCAAAAATTAAAGATCTTTTTATTGGGTTTTGGAATGTGAGAACTCTTCAGGATAGTAAGAAAGACCTTGAATGTAGGACTGCTTTGACTGCATGTATCCTAAAAAAGAAAAACATTGGCATCGCTCTTCTCTCAGGAACTCGACAAGCTGATTTTGTTTAGCTACTGGAGTTTGATGGTGGATACACATTTTTATGAATTAGTAGGACTGAGACAGCTAAGTGCAAAGCATGAATTTTGTTTGCTATTCAGAACAACCTGGTGAAACGTCTGGAATCTCTACCTGTTGGCATCAATGAAAGTATTATGTCCTTGTATATTTGCATTGGCAGAAATAAATATCTTTAGTTGATATGCTCTGTGATGAAATTAAAGAGAATTTCTACTCTGAATTATGCAACTAGTTGACAAGTATTTCAATTCATGACAAACTTCTTCTCCCAAGTGATTTCAATACACATATAGGTTGCGATACATCAGTATAGAATAATGTACTTGGTAAGCATGGTGTTGGCAAGGTCAACTCAAATGGTTATCTTCTTCTATCCCTTTGTAGTGAGCATGGACTCTTGCTCTTGCTTAACAACTCTATCTTCCAGCTTCCTAACCACCACAAAAACACATATTGACATGTGTCATGTCATAGCTGGTGTGCATATTGAACATTTGTGAAATCAGTTATAAAATCTACATCCCTTTGAATATCTTGTTCAAATTTTGATAAATTTTTATTGTTCAACATGAAGCCTATTCAATTTTGTTTGCCTGGGATATGTAGTTACTCAGATATTCACATTTTAAATTATGTCATCAATTTTGGGAGATACAATATATATATATATATATATATATATATATATATATATATATATGTTTGTATGTGTGTGTGACTAAAGTTGAAAATCTGGATAAGAATCTGATAAACATTGTATGTAATTGTATGACAGAATGGAGAAAATTTAGTTACCTACCATTAATCAGTTTTATAGAGTTTATATATCATATTTCTCCTCATGGTATATGTTTAAGACAGTTTTGGACATTTCTACATTTACATTATTACTGATGAACTTTTCCTGATAACACTCACCTGTCATCCAAACATGTCCAAGCAAAAATTTTCTTTATTGTCTTTATCTATTTATCATATATATTAAACAACCGTAAATGTTTGAGTTGGTATCAACATAGAAAACACAATCCAATTCTAGTTGAGATAACTTCTATCACTTTTACGCTAATGCCCTCAGATATAAATTCCACTCTTGCTG